CAAAAGCCCATCATGGCAGAGCACAGGGTTTATATGTCCTTTTGGAAGAGATGTGTTCCCCAAGGTGGCAATCAACTCTGATTGATTAATAATTAATGAGAGAATGAATATTACAATGAAAGGCTGGACCTGAACTTTCCATCATTTACTTCAAAGCCCCAGCCTTGGTCAATATATTGAAAGAATTTATCCCCACCCAAACAATGGCTATCCCACCTGGGTGGATTCTGGATAAAGGAGAAGGTTAGCTCAACCTTCAGAGACTGAGATCTTAAAATGATGACAAAAGAAAAAGGGAGAAATCTGAATCTCCTCAAATCATTAGAATTTTGTTTTGGGTTTTGGGTTTTTTTGGTGAGGCAATCAGGGTTAAGTGACTTGCCCAAGATCACACAGCTAGTAAATGTCAAGTGTCTGAGGCCTGATTTGTACTCAGGTCCTCCTGCCTCTAGGGTTAGTGCACATCATTACTTATTAATAATCATTTCTCTCAGTACCATTGATGTAATGAAGCCATCTCTCATAAAACTTGTTGTAATTTCTTGTCCATTCACTTTGCTTTTAAAGATTTTCAACATCTTTGCTTATAAGGAATAATTTCACTCTAATTTACAGAATAATTTAGAATTTACTAATCTATATATTACAGGCAGCCTTTCCCAGTTCCTTCCCTCTTGGATTGTCTTTAATTTATCCTATATAGTTGTTTGCATATTGTCTCATTAGACTGAGAGCTCTTTGAGATCAGGGACTTTTGTTTCTTTGTTTTTGTTTTTTTTTGTTTGTTTGTTTTTTGGATTTTGTTGTATCCTCACTGCTTAGCAGTGTGCCTAGCAAAATGCAGGCTTGTTAATTTACTGACTCTATCTTTATATGCAAATTGTTTCATGTGTACTAGCATTTAGTAAAGAGAAGGCATCCAGAAGAAAGCCATCAGTTTCAAATGCTGTAGAGCGATCAGGGAATATCAGGATTGAAAAAAGTTAATATATTTGGCAATTTAGAGGTCATTTTCAATTTTTAGGAGGGCTATTTCAGTTGAATAATGGAATTGGAAGGGTTCAGAAGAGAGTGGACATAGGGAAAGTGGAGGCATTTAACATAGAAGGTTTTCTCAAGGATTTTAGCCATGAAAGAGAGGAGAGATACACATTGTTGCCATTGCTGTGTTTCAGTCCTTTGTCTTATTTTACACTTCATGACCCCATTTGTGGTTTTCTTGGCAAAGATACTGGAGTGGTTTGCCATTTCCTTCTCCAGCTCATTTTACAGATGAAGAAACTGAGGCCAACAAGGTTAAATGACTTGCCCAGGATCACACAGCTACTAAGTGTCTGAGGCCAGATTTGAACTCATAAAGATCAGTCTTCCTGACTCTAGATCCAGCACTTTATCCACTATGTCACCTACTTGCCCAAGATATACATCAGGAAAAATTGGATCTAATGAGAGGGTTGTTTGTTTTTGTTTCTATTTTTTTCAGAATGAGGGTAAACATGAGAATGTTTATAAGCAGGGAAGCAATTATTACATGAGGAGAGATTGAAGATAAGAGGAAGAGTGAGTAAGACCAATTGACTAGAGAAGTTGGTAGGGGATGGGGACCAAAAGTGTATTTGGAGAGGGTAGTTTTGACATGGAAAAGAACCAAGTCTTCATCTGAGACTGAAGTGAAGAAGAAGATAATATTCCTGTGCTAGAATTTCTTCCTGGCATTTCTTGGGAAATTTATGTTTTTCCAAATCTTGAATCCTGAGAAAAGTTATCAAAGAAAGGAAATTATTGTAATTCTCTTATTAGAATTAAAGGTTAACAATTAACTGGTTCAAAGGAATCCATCAAAGTCAAGTCAAAAGTAGGAGCAGGAAGTATGTAAAGTTGAAAATCAAGGTCAACATTTTTAGCACCTGGAACAGGAGCAGATAAAAGAAAAGCAGTCACAATCTAACCAGTCAATCTTACTTGTAACCATTGCCATTTGTAAGTGTGTATTTGTGACTTTGTCTGCTGCTCCCTATTTCCCACCATCTACATTGCTTTTGGAATTCTCTGGAACTCTCCATCATACCTTTCTTCCCCAGGAAACTAGCCATGGGGAAATCTCAGTTATGCTGTAAGATTGAATCTTCTGGTCCTTTCATCTCATCGATACCCTCTCCCCTTCTGAATGGATTATTTGGAATTTTCTCCCTGTTTCCCACCAGCTAACCTCCTTTTGGACTTCAGGCTTGGTATCTTTCTTTTCTTCCCCCCCCACCTTTTGTGAGTTGTCCTCCCTGTTAGATTATAAACTCCTTGAGGGCAAGAACTGCCTTTGTTTTTATTTTTATTTGTACCCCCTGTGAATGTTGTTCCAAGAAATAATAAATTTGAAAAGCAAAATAAGTCCTTACATTGGCTATTTCAATATGTAATTCTGCGTAGTGCTATTAACCTTGCCATGAGATCTGAAAGTTACATTTTAAAAATTCTACTCAGTAACGTTCACTGACATTCTCCAGTGATTGAATATTTGCTATAGGATACAGTTCTTTATAAATACTACTAAATAATATTTTTTGAACATATTTAGCTATCCATAATAGTGAGTAAAGAGTATGAAAAATGTTGGAACCATTTTAAGAAAAATAAAGGATTCCAGTCATTGTCAGATTTTTAAATTATTGTCACAGTGTATTGGTTCATAATAATTTCAGTTGTTTTCAGTCATGTGCAACTCTTCATGACCATATTTGGAGATGCTGGAGTGGTTTGCCATTTCCTTCTCCAGGTCATTTTACAAATGAGAAAATTGAGGCAAACAGTATTAAGTGACTTATTTAGTAAGTTTCTGAGGCCAAATTTGAACTAAGGAAGATGAGTCTTCCTGGCTCCAGACCCAGCAGTCTATCCATTGCACCTAGCTGTCCCATAATAATAGTAGTAATAATAAATCATAAATTTATTATTATATCACTTTTATAGAAAACCTCTGAAACTTTTACTATAACCCCATCAAAGAAAAATGATTCATTCTTATAATGATCATTATTATTTTAAAACATGTAAATATGATGTTATAGAAATACAGAATACGTTATTATTTTGGGAAATCCTGAGAATTCCCAGGAATTGTAATTTTTTAAAAATTCTGAATCTTAAGAATTAATATCTGTAAGATTTTGGAAACACTGGTAGTGGAAGATGCCTGAAAGATGTCAATGAGGGGGTGTGGAAAAGAGGGAGCTCTCAGTCAATAGCAAATTTTTGGTGAAGTTTGAGGCAAAATCCTTCAATGACAGTGGGGTTGGTAGGATTATGGATGCCCATGGAAGGCTTGAAGAGAAACAGTAAGGATTGGAATAGCTGTTGTGGAGAAATAGCAAATCAATTAGGGAGGAATAGAATGTTTGCTTCCTTCAGGGAGATCTCAGTAGAGCGTGTGTGATTTCTTGATTTTCTCCATCTCCATTCAGTAGCATATAAAGAAATTTATTTTTGGAGAATAATGCCATGAGCATAACAGGATCAGAATTCAAGGGTTCAAGAATGAAAGAGTATGTGGAATTGAGTTGAATTTGTAAAGGGTAAAGATAGGGAAGGGAAGAGAATGTAGCCAGACCAGAGCCTTGGAAAGAACTGAGGTATAAAGGAATTGGAGGTCATAGTGAGAACAAATAACAGAGTTAAAAGTCATAAGATGTAGAGAAAGAATATAATGATAAAGATTATCATCAGTTCAAGAAATTTCAGGGTTCAAATATGTAGAAGAGAACATTTGTTGATGATGGCAAGATCTAGGACATGACTATCTTTTTGTGTAATCTAAGATGGAGCAGAGAAATAGGTTGTAAGAGCTAAGTAGATTGAGGACATGGGAAATGAAAGCATCATCATGAATGTTGAAGTCCCTTAGGTTGAGAGCAGGATAAAGGAAGGAGAAAAACAAAACTGTGACTCAAGCACTTAACTCATTGGGAAAGGAAGGAGCACATCCTTAGGGTTGATGAATAATAGCCAGCAGGACCTTCACTGGGTAATATATTTGGATAGCATGAATCTCAGGAGAGGTTGCTTACTGAATGTGGTTGATGGATAGTCTGAATGTATTTCATGTTTTATAATAGGACTAAACAGAGTGCTGGATTTATTGTCAATGATAGGTATCCAATAAACACTTGATTGGTTGGTGATCCAGCAGTAACAGAGTTGCTAGTTTCTCCCTTCCAATGTGTTCATTTCCCTGCAGCTGCTGTTCTGCATTTAAGATGATGGAACACAGGTTTCAGTTTGGCCACCTAGCCCTCTTTCTTCCCACTCAATGTTTAATCCCCAACTTCGGTTAATCATACTCCAAGCACTTATTTTTCTTGTCATTGCCCATCCTCTTCAGATGACCCCACAGCATAGAGCTGGGCTATGAGGACTCGGGATTTTAGGTTGCTCAGCAACTAGCCCTTCAGGATTATTTTGTCAATCTTCTCAGAATCAATCATAGACTAACTGGTCCATAAGAGACTTTGGAAACTCATCTTCTCTTTTCACAAGAATTTAGACGTAAACAATTTATTCAGATTAATGGTGGTATACCAACCTAGGCTGTAAAGCAAGGACAGGGAGACATTTTCCATTCTACAGAAGGACTGCAGCACTGAAGTATGGTTCATACAGATACATCATCTCCACACACTTATCTCATGGTCCACAAGAGTGAATATTTTGCAGAATTGTGGACTATTTTTCAATGCTAAGACTCTCAGGAAGCCAAAAATTGCTCCTATTTATTTAAAAGATCCCAGGGGAAATTTTCTGCTGTCCCCTTCTTAGATGACTGCGAAAAACAGATAGAGTCAAAAGGTACAGTCATTCATTATATGGGGCTACTACTACTGTCTAAGACTTATTTTGAGATCCTTTCATGAAAAGCAATCTTTGTACAAATCCTTAGTAATCTTACTTATCACACTATCTGCCAATGTGTTATGCACAAGATCTAAAATCACCTTCTTTAAATTTTACAGCTTCGTAAGTCTGTTTTCAGCATCAGAGCAAGGAATCTTCTGGAAAAAGAGACAGCAGTCACAAAAATCCTCAGGTAACAATTAACTATTGATTGCTATATCTTTCCTTTTAAAATGGATCTATATCATGTATTCATATATCAATAAGTAGAATATAGCAAGTATATATGTTTATGTGCATATATATCCTATATACATATTAAAAACTCAAGTTATTTTCTGAGTATATTAATGATCTATGAACATTATACTTACAACAGTTTCTGAAAAGAAAATATCTTCTTTTTTAACTTCCATTTATAAACAAAATATAAATAACATAATTGTGATCTTTCCTCAAATAACATTATGTAATGAGCTCAGTCAGCCAAAATTGAATTTTTTTTCTATGTCTTTAAACCTTATTTAAAGGTTTTAAATATGGAGTAACCCCACAAAATGTTTACCATAAAAGTTAACTATCTTCACAGTTTGCCTATCACTTATTTTGTGGGATCTATGTTATGTCCAGGTATGCAGAAGCCATATATTGATAGAAAAGGAAACAACGAATTTTATAGTAAAAATGTGATACTATAAGGGGTGTTTAATATACTTGAAAAATTACATATCCTAGAATATTCTACTGAATGTTATAATTTGGTTACAGAATAAATAGTTTTGAAATTTAGTACAGATAAAAGAAAATTAAAACAATCATTTAAAAATATGTATGTGAAATATTACATTCTGCAACATTAAAAAATAATCAATTCGGATGCATGACCATTATGAAAAAAAATTAGTTCTCAGCCCTAGATTATATATTTCAAGCAAGTCCAGATATTATTTTCATTACTGCCTATATTGCATTAAGTTATATAAATGTTAAAATTTTGGTCATGGTATAATGAAACCTGTTCTCCAAGACTGGAGATTAGACATGGGCTGTCTTTGGAGATTACAAAATTAGGGAAATCTTACGGATAGTGAGGGAATTTGGAACCTCCTTCTGTCTTCTTCCCCATCCCCTCTCACCAACCTTATCTCTACCAAGAGTTACTGTTGCAGAGTTTTCTCCCCCACATAGCTCTTTATTATGGCCTAAAGACCAAAAATGAACCTGACAGTGTGTGATCTGCAGAGCTCTGTTCTTGCATTCACCTTAAAATTATAGCATCTAGATATGCTAATCAGCCAGACAATCTTCTACAAATTTGTTCCACATTCTGACCAAAGAAAGAGACATTTGAAGACAGCTAAATGTTAGGTCTGAATAACTTTTGTCAAGTAAAAGCAGGTGTTTGTGGTAGTTAACAGCCACCACCGTCTACAGCAAGAGAAGCACAGTGTCTCCTGCCTTTTACACTCTTTGAGGTTTTAGTACAGTTTTCTCCTGCATTATTGCCTACCCTAGGCTTTGTAGCAACACACCTGTTGTAAACAAAAGCTCAGCTATAAAGATAAAGGAGCACATGTAATTCCAAATAGCTATGAAGCAGGAAAAAAAAAACATACAAATCCCATGTCAATCTCAAATTAATAGGTCTTGAGATTCCTTACCAACCTAATGGCCAACGTACTTTTGGGCTTGATAGCTGGTGGTTTATGTATAAAAGTTAAGTAGGTAACAGACCATGAGCAATATGGTACAGCCAGTATAAAAACTCATATTGCTCACTGCTAAGGGGAACACTACAACTGAGGAAATTATTTATTTCTTTACAGGTTCAGACCAAGGTATAGTAGGGCCTTTCAACAAAATGGACTTCCCATTTATGTGTTCCACAGCATTTGCATGTTCATCCATTTGTGAATATAATCATCATATGCATTAACAAAAATTCATTTGCATGCATAGAGTTAAAAAAAGATGAGGTATATCCCTTTCCAATTTTGCATGTACATAAAATTACCCGTTTCCAACTTAACCCTTAAAGAAACAAATGTGTTATTCTATATTTGGAATAGCAGCAATGGAACAGTTTCTGACGAATCACATGTTGTACTGAAGAGGGGATTTCCAATGTGGACAATCAGTGTCCTCCATTTGACTTCAATGTATGAGAAGCTCAGAATGTAATGACCGCCTCTCTTTGAACTTGGTCTAAGCGCTCCATAAGAAGCATCTTCCAGCTGACTGTAGTGCAGAGGAGTGGTGTGATTGCCCGAATGAAGGGTGAGAAGATTGCTTCTCCATGATTTGATCTTGCTACTTGTTCTGGTGATTCTATTTAAGGCATCCTCAGGGGCTTCTCAGCTACTGTTGGTTTTATCTCTCTAGTTGTCCACTTTCTCTCAGAAGAAATTCATTTCAGTACATCCAGAACAAGTAGGATGGCAGAGAAAATTAAGGACACAAGATTTCACACACAAAAGAAGTTCTGAGGAGGAAAAATGATGAGAGCATCTAGCCAGAGAAAGATGTTGCACTGTCACTCACAAGGTTCTGTGGGATATATACATACACACACACACACACACACATACATAGATATATATATATGTATGTATGTATATATGTATGTATGTATGTATATGTATATACACATTCCAGCAGGAAAAGAAAGGTATGCCTTTGTGTATCTTCAAAGGATACTACAATACCCCAGTTTACCCATGGGCCATCTCTATGAAGACCTGTAGCATGATAGGGCATTCAATTCTAACATCTAACCTAGTCAATACTACTAGGCAATAGAGAGTGACCTGGGTTCACATTACCAGATTTAGTATCATTTTCCAAAAGCTGTCTGAACCAAAATGTTTCAACATGAAACCTGAAAACACATATCCTGAATACTCCAAAGCGCACACACACACACACACACACACACACACACTCACACACACTCTCTCTCTCTCTCTCTCTCTCTCACACACACACACACTCACACACACTCACATACACTCCTAAACATCTCCTACAAGAAATTCTCACAGGAGTTCTAGACCAATCTAGAGCTTTCCCTCTATTCCAAGGGTGGGAAACCTCCAACCTCAAGGCCACATGTGGCCCTCTAGATCCTGAAGTGTGGCCCTTTGACTGAATCAAATTTTAGATTTTTGACTGAATCCAAACTTGAAAGGCCACACCTGAGGACCTAGACGGCCACATGTGGCCTTGAGGCCACAGGTTCCCCACCCCTGCTCTATCCCTTACTCATGTCAAAGGGATCCTAACTCCTAGAGACAGAATGTGTAACTCAACTAACAAAGCAGGATCCAAGCTGACTTTGGAATGGGCTTTTTAGGAGTGCCTCTTACACCAGGTGGTGATAGGTATTTGTAAATCTCTATTACTGGGATGCCAGTGCTGGTGGATTGTCTGAGCTCAGGAGTTCTAAGTGTATCTTGACTGTATGTTCCATGTGTATCATAGGAAATCTCAATCCAAAATTAGAAAAACGACTGAGAACTCTTAGAAAACAGGCGCTTACTTGTTTTTTTAGGGAAAGCCATTGAAGATTTTGCTTCCCTGAAGATTACCACTTTATTGCTGCCTCTCTTGATGGCCACTGAGGCCATGAAGTAAAAGTATAGGTTACTGAAATGGAAACTGCTGTAATTAAATAATTAAGTATGATTAATCATTTCCAGAATGTATCCCTAGTCTAGGCCTCTGGATAAACGTTCAAGCAAAGTTCTCATACTGAAAAAAAATGTCCTTTTTATAGGAAACACCAGTTAGTGAAGAAAGGTAAGGAGTAACTTTCAATATAGAATTGCCTAAAGAAAAATAGGCCTAGGATAGCTGAGAGCCCTACTAATTATAACTGAATCCATCATACAGCAAGCCATGGATTTTTTAAATAACGTGCTATTGTTATTATGTCTGACACACTCTAAATACTTACCCAAAGTTTTTAAAGTTAGGGGAAACAACTATCCTTTTTAGTAGTCGGGACAATTGACCCAAAATATTTCAGATCAAAAGATGTAGTTTCTTTGGGGCAAAACTGTGAAGCAAGCAGTTTCTCTCTGATACTCCCTCAAGGATGTTTGTTGTTTTATGTCCTCTTGACACCCCTGATCAACCCCTGGTGGTCAGGTCCTATCAAGTTTATCTCACTCACCTCTCCCCCATCATTGCCTTCCTTACTACTCCACTGATGCCAGTGTAGTTCAGGCTTTCCTCGCCTCTCATCTTAACTACTAGTTGGTCTTCCTGCTCCAACATCTCTCTTTTCTAGTCATTCACATAACCTAACATGTAATCGGATAAACACTTCTGACTTTATCACTCTCCTACTCAAAAATTTTCTTTGACTTCCCATTTTGTATGAAATCAAATATAAACTGTTTAGCTTGACACTCAAAGCCCTTCACAATCCGTTTCCAAACTACCATCCAACCCTTATTTCACATTCCTTTCTTTCCCACACTGTATCCTGTGCCTCTTAGCCATTTCTACCTATACCCAAAGTCTTCACTGATCCCCCACTAGCTGGGGAAAAAAATTCACATTCAAATTTCTCTGACTGCTGTGTCAAGATCTCTCCTTTGCACTTAGCACATTTTGCCCTGAATTAAACTCATGTATGTCTTTGTATCTCCAGTACCTGTCAGAGCACTGTGCACATATTAAACGATTAATAATATTCTTATTGATTTCTTCTGGTTCTTTATCATTAAGCTCTATTTCTATGTCTCATTTTTGTTCTCAATTGGTTGTCAACTGCTAAAGTATTAACTAATAAATAAGTTTACAGGAAAATAATCAAATTGTTACCCTTTCTAGGAGTATCTCATTTTTAAATGGGATTCAAAGATGATAAGTTTCTTAAGACCCAAGGGAATGGTACCATATTGATAGAATAACAAGTGGTGAGATTGATCTTTGGGGGACAGAGGCACTACAAAGCTATATTCTATTTATTCTTTTTAAATTATTTTTTAAATTAACAAACATTTATTTTTAATCTCCTTACCTCCCATCCCCATAAGAAAACAAAACAAACTCTCTTACCCTTTTCCCATGGGGAAAAAAAAGAAAACACCTTGTAACAAATATTTATAGTCAAGCATTTGGGGAATATGTCCAAAAATGTGTCTCATCCTGCATATTAAATGCATCACCTTTCTGTCAGGAAGT